CACTAATCAACACTCACTGCCACTGTCACCCGGATAGAGCGCGATACCACCCCGCGAATCGGTACCGTCGCGACGACGAGGCGAGCCCGGTCGCCCGCCGATCGACGCTTCTGACCGCGAGCTCTACACCGGTATTCAGTCGAGGCCTCTCGTGCTGCTCGTCCTCCGATTACCGCTCGCAATCTTTCTTGCCAGCATCGTCATCGTTCTCCGGGATATCCGACGACCGGTCGCGGAGGGGTATGCCGTCGCAACTGTTGCCGTCGTCCTGTTCTGGTGTACACCAGCGGCGACAGCTCGTCCTCGACGATGAGAAGAGAGCGGAGATCTCGTCGCGGCCGCGACTGGTCGGAGTCCTTCCAGTTTTCGAGAGACCGCAGTTTCGGCGTCTGATAATGAATTGCTGATTGTCACGCGCTACTCCGACTACACGTGATCGGCACGGGTTGATCTGAGCTATCCTCTTTCACGGAGCTCCGTACGCTGGCTTTCTTTTCTTTTACGAGTTTCTCCTCTTCCGTGTTCCTTTCCCTCGTAGTTCGATACTCGTTTGGCCACCTCAACAGACTCGGATCGGCGACCGATTCGTTCCGCCCCCGATCATCTTCTTTCCTCGCCGACGTCCAAATCTAACTGGATCTCGACTCAAAAGGTAAAAATGACTCTGTTATTGTCCAAGGGAATTCGCGATCTCTGCACCCACGCCCCAAACGCGAAAGACGACACTGCGTTTTCTTTTTTCGCGGCTCTCACTTTTTTCTCGCTCCTGCCTTTCTCTCTCACACTCACTCCCCCGCTCTCTCTCTCTCTCTCTCTCTCTTCCTCTCCCTCTCACTCTCCCTCTTCCTCCCTCCCTGTTTCTATCCTTCGTACCGAGCGTCACTGTTCGTCTCGATCTCGATACGTTTCGCGATATTCCGTCTTCCGATAACGCAAAGACGGTAATGCCGCTCCTAAAGCACTGACGCTCCGGCTTCGAACGAACGATAAAACTCGAGCACCAAGTCCACGAACGAGCCTTCTTACTCGTTATTCGTGTCCCTTTCCTTTGTTCGCTGCACCGTCTTCGGCTACGTTTCGCCCCGATATCCTGCTTCGCTCGCCCTTCCTGTTTTTGGCTACGTACGTACGTACGTACTGTACGTAACTCCGTATTTCGTTTCGACGAGAACTCGAGGATCGCGTAAACACTGCTACGAAACGGTACACCACGGAAAAGCTATAACCGCGGTAGCGAGAGTCGGCACCGTACTGGTTGGTCGTTGGTTCGGTCGCTCGAGCTGCGAGGTTCGTGCGTTTCCGAGCTCCGTCGACTACGCTCGGTCCCGCTCGGTTTCGGAACCTCCCGCCGTGGTCGCGGCTGCTGCCGCTGCCGCGGAGAAGACGCCGACGATACCTCTGATACCGCCAGTTCCATCGACGTGGACGCGGGCTGCAACCAACCTGCAACGACTGCTCTTCCCTTTCTTCCTTCTCCCGAAATTCACGTTCCTTCGAGGAGCACCGACCGACTCTGATGATCTCGAGTTGCCAGTCGATACCACCTGGTCTCGCGTATCGCGTGCGCTAAGTAGGTGGAAAGCGACGGTATCTTATGCAAATCGAGAGACAGCGTCGGAGATGTCGCAATCGAATCCTTGGAGTCCCTCTGAAACGAGAAATTCCGCCCAGAGCTACGCCGGGCAAGCGAATCTCGCGCGCAACCCAAATCTAGCTAACGTCGATGCGAATCCTAGAAGGATTTCATAGGAAAATCAATGAGCGCTAATCATTGTACTCGATCGAGCTTTGAGTCTTATCGACTCCCGACCTTCTCGCTCGACGATACGAGGCACGAAACGGGCATTTTCCGGCGGTCGCGGTGGAATAGTTTCGTTTTCGTGACCACGCTATATTTCTGCGGCGCCTGTACGATGTAGGAGAGGGTGTATGTACTTTCGTACGTACTTATATACCTATGTATACATATGTATGCTTGCGCGCGTGCGTTCGTCCGTTCGTTTCGCGCATAGCGTACGCCGACGTTGTATATACGTGCATACATACATACATATATATATCGAGAGAACGGCTGATTGTGAGAGTCGGAGAAACCGTGGCAGCTCCAGGCACATACGTAAGGGCACGTACCAAGCCACGTACCTACGCGTGCTCGGGGCACGTACGTGTGTAGGTATGCGTTCGCGCGTACGTATCGTACGTAAGTAATGGTGCGCGTTGCATGCGGTGACCGTGCCACGGCGTAGGTGTAGGTGGATAGAACGCCAAGGCTGTACCGAGAAACCGAGCACCACGGGATCCGTTTTTCGTAAATTTCTTTTCAAACCTCGAAACATCTGGTCGTATTGCAAGGCGTTCAACCCGTTCGCGTGTAAACCGCGAATATGGTCTCGTTCGATTACTCGGCAAAGGGTCGCCGCGACGACTGTCGATATTCGATGGGATCGAGAATTCGTGGATCACTTACCGACAGTATGTACAGTAATGTCTTGTAATATGAAATTAATGATATTCTTTAATCCTCTCCTATTTCGAAAAGTCTATAATCTATATATGCAGTTACGTGCTTCATACGCAGCGCGCACGCTGCTGGTCAGCCGTGTACGTTAACGTATACGTACATATGTATATCACCGGGTTGCAATGCGAGCGCGAGCGAGACGGATCGAGCGAGAACGGGGGTGGATTTCGCGCAGAGGCGAGCGGAGCGAGCGAGAGGGAAGCCGAACGAGTTGCGAGCTGCACGGACGGAACAAGATGGAGCGATCTTTGGAACAGAGAGGGACTGCTAGCAGCGTTTCATAGAATCGAGGAACAGAGATAGACAGATGGATGGATGGATAGATAGGTAGACGGCAGGATGGATGGATAGGTGAAGAGAGGGGCTAGAGTGAGAGAGGTAGAAGAGGAGGGAGCGAACGAGTGCTCGTGAGAGGAAAGGAAAAGACGATGCCGTCGTGGAAGCTCACGCAAACACGCTCCTGGCAAGCTCGTACAGCGTTGCCTACCAGACTCCCACCACGCGAACTTTCGGAAAAATCAATAGAATACAAGAAAAGCCCACGCTGCGCTAGGTGAATCGAGAGCCCTCGCCTCTCCTCTTCTCTACTTTTCTTTCCTCTCTTCTCGCGTTAGGTTTGCTCATTTCTTTCCGCGATTTCGTTCCTTTCCTCCATTCCTCGGTCTTCTCTGCCGCTGGCGAGGCTGTTCGCGCGCCTTTTATCCGTCCGTCGCGCGAATTGCCTACCCCCTTCGAATCGCGTCGAAAAAATCGCTAACTTTTTCGAGCGTGTGCGAATCCTTGGAACGCGACTCTGACACCCTCTTATCAATTTCAAGAACAAAGGGAAGAAAGGTCCCAGATTTATTTTTGTTCGAAGAAATTAATATACTCGCTTCGTTGAGTGTTGCTATCATGCGAGCAAGTGAAGAGGAAAGGAATGAAGGAACGAAAGGACGAGATAACGTGTTCGAAGCAAAAGTGTCAATATCGGATTCAATCTCGATCCGAGCTTCTCTCGCGATCCAAACGGAATCGTAGCCTGCCTCGCACTAAACCGAACTGACCCAGCTTCGTTGCTTTGTACCCTTCGTTGATTCCTCTCTGTTCGCTCTCTCCCTCTTGCGCTCTCTCTCTCTCTCTCTTTCTCTCTCTCCCCTCTCTTTGAATCCGCTCGTCTCTGTCCTATGTTTCTAGCGCACCGGGTCTCTCCGTTCACCCCTTGACATTCTCCTACCGCCGGCGCGTCGCGCCGAGACGAGGAGACACCCTCGAGAAGTTTCAATTTATACCGAAAGTCGTCATGACCGAATCCACAAATACGTACACCATCGCCCGTTCCCGCGCACTCGCGCTCTTCTAGTCCATTCATATCAGCTGAGCACGCGTAAACATCGTTTCACCCTCAACGATCTCGCTTCTTCAATCTAACCCACGCGGATTATTATCGACGATATCGAAATGTCGTTTAACGGTAACTGAGAAAATCGTGGCTTCTCCCGAGCCTCGGACGAACCGAAGAACTTCTTGCGTGAGATCGTAACGGAGCGAAATGAGAACTCGGTCACGCGATATCGCGAGCCGCGCGATACCAGGCGCTTTTAAACTCGAGGGAAAAAAAAATCGTCCGCAGGTTCGCGTGCGCGAGACTCCTCCAAGTTCCTTTTGAAAAACCGACCGGTGAAGATGACCGGTCTACGACTCGTTTCCCTCGATGCTCGAAGTCCAGTTGGTAACCACGCTGTTTGAGAGTTTGTGTTCCTCTCGAATCGGAACGAGACCCGATCCACGTACTCTCGGAGGTCGAAGAAGCGAAGCAGAAGGCGAAATCGGGAAGGTTCGTTAAAGGATCGAGAAACACGGTCGTCGTCGCCGACTCCGAGCGGACGCTAGCTTGTTGCCCAGGGGGGCAATAAAATAAACGAATCAGCGATTCGTTGTCATCGTAATTCTGGTTACGTCACTGGTACTACCCCTCTACACTTGACACAACGTAGGAGGGTCGTGCACCCTCGCGTAGAGGGGTATAACTCCGGGGAGCGGGACAGCGGGGTTTGAAGGGGACGGGGGACGGGGTACGGTGGACGGGGTCGGGGAACGAGAGATGAGGAAGGGGAAGGGTGAAGTCGGACGGTGGAGAAGGGAGAGGAGGCGGTGGTGAGAGGAACGCGCGGAACGCTTTATGAATGAATGTTTCCACGCCAAGTGTGGCGAGAGAGCGAGGGAGGCCCCCGTGTGTCCCGCGTGTAAACACAATAATACCGACGTTTCCATTCATCAGGTCGACCCGGCACCGGCAAAGCACGCCGCGACCTCGAGAAGTGCCTTTCGAGGCGCCACGTGCATCGTCTATCCCCCTACCCTTCCTTCTCTTCCCTCCCGAGTTTCTTACCTTCCGCTTTTTTGCGACGTTGTTTAAAAACCGATTTCACTCCATTCTCCGTTTCCTCCCCCGTAGATCTGTGCCGCTTTAACGCGTCCCGTTCGCATTATGTTACAGGTCTACCACCGAAGACGTCGGAATCAACGCTGTGCGTTGAAACAATGGACCGAAAAGAGCGTGTGGTCTTTTGTCTGCGCGATGGAGTTGGGTTTGGTATCCGAATCCGTTCCCAACCGTAACACCGTTAACGTGTCTTCCACCAAGTGGCCGTCGACTGTCCATAAAGTAAACAATTCGTTTATGGTCGCTGCAGTTTCCGCAACTCCCACGACAAGTACAAACCGGGCCTCTCCGTTCTTATCATTAGGAGAATCCTCGTCGAATACGCAGAACCAGCAAATGCAGATCCCGAACAGACAAATCGTGAAAACGCCGGCCCGGAAAAGGCAAGTCCCAAGCACACTGAGTCCAGAAACTCAGATCTCAAACACGCAGGACCCACAAACGCAAGTCACGGAAATGCAGCAGGTCTCATTTTCACAGGAAAACTCGAAGAAGGACGAGTTTCAATTAGATTATTTCGATACGACGACGATCGCGAACGATTTGGAACCGGAAAAGGAAGGGCAAGAAGACATGAAGTCGGAGGTCACACCCGATACAATTCAAACATATGGTCCCAGAGCCGACCATGAGTACGCCGCGAAAGAAGCATTGATGTCGATGAGCACATCCAGTCAGTCCGAGTTGGTTACTGAAAGCGAATCGGTTAGTGGCATGGATCACTCAGAACTCAGTCAAAACTCTGCAGAAACTCCTATGAAGAAACCTATTGGTAGTCCTCGTCAAAACTCTTCGGAAACTCCTATGAAGGAACCTATTGGTAGTCCTCCTCAAAATTCTTCGGAAACTCCTATGAACAAACCTGCTGGTCGTCCTCGTCGTTCGGAAACTACGATTAAAAGCGATTCTGACTACGAATACGAGCCTCCTCAAAGAAAGAAGAAGATGCCGAAGAAGAAGAAGAAGGTAATGCAACCTAAACCTAAGGTCAGAACCGAGAAGATCGTCGACACCACTGACGTGTCCACCACCGATATCAGCTACGAAAGCTCCGAGAGTAGTACCAGGGCAAGAAGGAACAAGAAGCTCAAGGCCAAAAAGAACAAGGAAGGCGGAAGCTCCGAGGAGGAGAACGAGGAGCTTCACAAACGTCGAATAGAAATTCGACGCTCTTTGGAAAAAGCAAGGGAAAACGAATCTGACAAGAGGAAGAGTTACAATTCGGAATCAAAGAACCTGCTTAAATACGAGGCGATTCGTGTTAAGCTAATCGGGAAGCAACATGAGTACGAGTCTTCCGAATCCAAAGTAACGACACGGCGCTCGCTGAAGAACAAGGAATATGCCAACATCGGGAGTCTTGTCTGGGGCAACTGTTCGGGGTGGTGGCCAGGTAGGTAGATACGGACAGTAATGACCGAACGTGCGTATAACTTCGGGCACGGCGACGCGCCAGAAGCGGTAATCATGCATTCGGATGACATATTCAACAATATCCAAATGTCCAAACATCGAAAGTCTAAATGAACATTCCTGTATGCCATTACAGCACTAGTTGTCCATGCCGACCATGTAGGGATGTTACCTGAGGCGGGCAAATTGTGGGTTTACTGGATCGCAGAAGCTCGTATATCATTAGTGAATATACATCTTTTTTATTCATCTTTCTTTCATTCTCTTTACTTTCACTCGGACACGACGCTTCCCGATACCATTGACAACAATCTACTCGTCTTCGTTTCAGTTGAACGAAAAGACACAAGTCGAACCGTTCTCGAGCCACCTCAAAGCCAGGTTGTCACAAAATTCAAACGCAGCGCGATTGCGTGCTATTGACGCGACCATGCAGGTTCACTCTTTTTCGTTTTCCATTTGCCAATTCCTCATGTTACGTATCACGATAAGCGAGATTTTAAGGTAATGATGGTATCTTGCAGATGTTGCGCGCTAGATTGGACTGTACCCTGACGAAGCCTTACTACACGTGGCTCGAAACTAACTTGATCGGCATGTTCGAAAGTAAGTGATCAACTATTCTTTCGAGTAGTTTAGTAGACAAATTCGACGCCATTCTGGGGTTTATTCTCTCCTTTCTGCATGCATAGTGTTAGACGAAATTAGGTTCTATCCGTACCCGAGTCAAATGCAAGACAGAATAAACCACTTGAAGCGGAGAAATGCGAGAGCTGTGGAGAAATACTTGGAAGATAAAAAGCGTACGTATCATCTGAAGGCTACGTTTTTCGGCTTTATTTATATCACCTGTTATCGCGGTGGAACTAGTCTCATCCGATTCGTTTTACGATTCAGGTACAGAAGAGAACCAAGGGAAAAAATCGAAAGAAACAGAAAAGAAAGATTCGTCGCAAACGCAGTCGCAGGTCCAAAAAGAGGAGGAAGACTTAGCTCGTTTGCCATTAGCGGAACAAAAGCCAGGAGTCATAGCATGGGCTAAAATCCTCGGACATAGCTGGTGGCCAGGTAAGCACTCAAGTATTTTTATGGCAATTTCCTATTCATTATCTGGTACACACCTACTATATGCGAGCACGAGTTTTCTTAAACTTACCATTAGTATTGGCGGCAGCTCGAGTATATACCAGTCGAACTAGATTCGAAAGCTGCCGTTGCTTCGCGTTCGACAAATTTCCGACTCATTTTCGTTTCGACGAAAAGAAACGAATTAACGGAGTGCATCTGTGTGCTCCCTTTATGTCGCAGCTATGATTGTCGATTATCGCGACTGTTGCATGCGGGAGCCGACCTTTGGCTGCCAGTGGATAATATGGTACGGCGACTATCAGCTTTCGGAGGTAAAAATTATCGAATATTATAAAAGAGCTTTAATTTGATAGAAGACAGAAGTGATCCTGATCGGATTCGATTCGACCGTGATACGATTCCCACGACTTCGTCAAACGATTTTTGTTCCGCCACAGGTTCATCATCAATTCTTTTTGAGATTCGATAAGGGCTTGGAGAGAATGCGTGAGTACACGTACGCCGCAAAAACACGAAAGCCGAATTTCGTTGTCGGAGTTCTCCAAGCTGCGAAGGTATGCGTCCGTTTTGTTCTCCCTGCTCAAATGAGTTTACCGCAATTTTCAAATTTTTAGGATTTCGGTAGCCGTGTAGGGCTCAATACTGAAGAATGGACTTTGGAAGACGCATTTACGCATATCCCAACAGCGGAACAGAACCAGACATTGCCTGATACGAAACCGACTACTTCTTACGTCAAGATCTACGACAAATACACACCTCATATAGTACAAAAGTTGAACGAATCCAAAAAGGAGCCTAAAATCAACTTCGCTCGGGCGAATGAGATTATACATAGCGGTAAATTGGCTCCTCTGGTTTAATTATTATTTGGTGAGATACATAAGTTACATGCTTTTATTCTGCTCGATCTAGATGATTTACAATCTGTAATTAGTGGAAACGTTCCATTCGATTCATTGTGTCTAAAGTGTATGAAAATCGTCGATGGTGAAAAAGAGAGTCATCCGTTCTTCGAAGGGTCTCTGTGTATAGATTGCGCGGTACGTTCAGAGATGATGTTCATGTATTTTAACCGAATATTATATGAATGTTTTTATCTTCGGATCATTTTCAGGGAGACTTCAAGCCTTTTATGTTCGTATTTGGTAACGATGGTAAATGCGTAAGTATCGGTCATTCAATTCAATTTTGAGATCGAGTCATTTCGATTGCATAATAAACGTGGCAAAATCATTTTTCGTTACTAGTTTTACTGTACGGTGTGTAGCGCTACGGGTACGGTGCTCATTTGCGACAAAGATGATTGCCCGAGGTAAAATGAATCGGTGTCGCGGTGCTGGATCGATTATCCCTTACATCCTAATTGTCATTTTTCAGAGTCTACTGCGCTGCTTGCGTGAAACACCTATTATGCCCGGATACCTACAGGGAAGTACTTCGAGAAGATCCCTGGTACTGTTTCCTCTGCAAATGTGAGGCGAAAACTCCGCTTGACCCAGCCTCAATCTTGAAACCACGAATCGATTGGAGAGAGAAGATAATCGATGTTTTTCGTACGAATTCGAAAGCATGTCGGCTGGAACCCGACGGAAATGAAAGGAGAAAAATACGTGTCCTTTCTTTGTTCGACGGTCTCGCGACGGGTACGCGGGTCAAATATATTTTCCGTTCTCTCTGTCTCGTTGATACTGGTAATCACTAATCCTGTTCAACGCTGTTAGGTCTACTCGTGCTGGAGAAGTTGGGTTTAGTCGTCGACGTTTACTACGCTAGCGAAATTGACGCGGACTCGATGATGGTTAGTACTGCGCATTTCGGCAATCGCATCCAGCATTTAGGTGATGTGAGGAAAATCACAAAGGAGAAACTCGAGGAAATTGCACCCATCGATCTGTTAATCGGCGGGTCACCGTGCAACGACCTGAGCTTAGCCAACCCTGGACGACGCGGTCTCAACGGTTAGTAGTAGCGTCTCGCTGTAACAAAAATTACGTACGTGCAATAAGCGCGCATGTCCCCGCGTTTCACCTCCTGTTGCTCCTTTCCCTTCTCAGATCCAAAAGGAACAGGAATCCTTTTCTTCGAATACGTGCGAATTTTGAAATTGATGAGGAAAATTAACAAAAAACGACAATTATTTTGGTTGTATGAAAACGTCGCTTCGATGCCGACCAAGTTTAGACTGGAGATTAACAAGTAAGTAGTGATCGCATATCGTCGTACAATTTATTCTTCCTTTTAGAACGTCTTCCCAAATGTTTTCCGTATGTGACAGGTACTTGAGACAAGAACCTGACACGATAGACTCGGCAGATTTTTCTCCTCAACATAGGTTGAGGCTTTACTGGCACAATCTACCCGTAAAGCCACACTCGTTCTCATTTCAACAGCCACAGGACGTACAGGATATACTCACGCCCCACTGTCAACGCTACGCATTAGTTAAGAAGATTCGTACGGTCACTACTAGAGTAAATTCGCTTAGGCAAGGTAAGTTACCAAAATGTTTAATCGTACGCACTAATAATTAGTATACTTGTTCCATACATTCATTTGTATGCGGTGTATACAATATCAATACAATTCTTCTCGATTTTCCATAGGCGTTCAACATTTGAAACCGATCATGATGCAAGATAAAAGCGACACGATATGGATAACCGAACTCGAAGAGATATTCGGATTTCCGCGTCATTATACGGACGTGATGAATTTATCGGCGACCAAACGTCAGAAGTTAATAGGCAAATCGTGGAGTGTCCAAACGTTAACTGCCATTTTGGGATCTCTTTGTCCCTTCTTCGAGTGCAATACTACTAATGACAATTCGATAAAATTAGAAACTGAAGTTTAAGGTAGAACTGCTCAGCTGTTCTTTAATTGTACATTGTGTTCCAATCAATTTTTACGTGCACGAATTACGTTGTTTAGTTCCAATTTCTAATTTCGTTTCTACTAAAAGTACACAAATAGATGGCACCTTTCGATGTTCTCGACTAAAATTTACAATTCTTTTCGAAGTGTAGGAAACGCTACTTCATACTTTATATAAGCTTCGCAAAAACGTTGTATGCTTTATGCATGTTCCTGTTAGTTTTTGAGAAGAAAGAAAAGACAATATCATAAATGTTTATTTTTTAAATGGAGTAGAAACAAAACAGATGTATTTACGTTTTCGTGTGCCATTCAATTTTTTTCATGCGTGATTTATGTTGTTGATTTTCAATTTTATTACTATCAAAATCAAACGTATTACATTAAAACTTTTTATCTCCATGACTCAAGTTTATAATTGATTCGGGAGTGTACGAATTTGTATGTACATACTTCGCAAAAATATTGTACACTTTATACATGTTCCTGTTATTTTTTGCGAAGGAAGAAGAATTAGAGAACAAGAAACAATATTAGAAATCTTTATTTTCGAAATAAAATATGAGTAAAACAGATGTATTTACACGTTTTTCTTTATAATAAAGAATCTTTACAATAGATTCCCTGTCAAGCATTGTTCTCGTCTCTTTGGTATCTCATTCGGAAGTATCCTCTACGATGTTCACGGCTCATCGGTAGAATATCGTTCCCACCAATGTAAGGTATGTTCGTTTGCTGATTCAGTGTTAACAAGTTAATTGGCACTGGTATACACCCCATTAAACAATTTACGTACTGCATCGTGGCTGCTGGCAATGGCGTGTTTATAAATATTTCTTCTTGCACCATGTCAACTCCTCTAACGATACCTGCATACAGAATGATTCAACTTCAAACGACGGACATGGGAGGATCAAAGTACGGAGTAAAATCATGTACAGATATCGCGAGACTGTCTCAACTCGATAGTCGTATATCATCCATGTAAAGTATTTTCGACCAACGAATTGTGATGCATGGTTGATCATGTCAAAAATCGCCTCGCTGCCTGTATACAACTTAACCGTGGAAGATGGACTCACCGAATCCATAACAGTTGCAGAGAGGTGGTCTGTTCAACACTCGAGGACCGGAAATGGCCTGGCTTTCTGTCAAACAGCTGTCATTTATGTCGATTCCGCATAGTGCCACTATATTACCATTCACCACGTTTAACACGTGCGACGAAGGTACAAATGCGCTTGGAATGGAAATGTACAGCGATTTAAATGAAGTTCTGCAATGGTGATAACAAACTTATATCCAAAAATATTTGAACGAACGAACGAAGAGTAGAAACGGGAAATACTAACACGTATGGCACAACATTGTTGATGCTTAGTGACAGAGCATCACAGCGTGATCTAGAAAAAGAGAAGAAGCAAATAATGATCAATTCGATGTCGAATTCTACTTCTAGATTAGCCAAACTTACGTTGATTTTGCGGAATTTTGTACAATTTCGCTGAGATAGGAGATCATTACGAGTTCGCGTTGTTGGTAAGGTTCCATGTTCCAGGTTTCGTACCCTGAAGTAGCTTTCTGTTCCGCGTATGAGCGCACAACAAACAGTTCGTGATTACAGGATAGTTCACTCAAATGGATCACATTTGCAGTCCACGGAAGTTTCTGTAAAGAGCAGATTTTTCCATCTCTAAGATACAATCTATAGATAGTTGCAGAAATAGACTGAAACTTGTTATTACCTGTCGATTTACGACCTCCTTGCTGAAGTAGCCAATGTAATTATTTTTCGGTTTCCCTGACATAATTTGTACCACGAAAGAAGGTCGAGTGAATTTGATAATGGTCAAAGCGAGATCCCAGCCAATACCTTGTGAAAAACCCATCGTGTTGACGACGATTGGCAGCCGTGATAAAATCGGACTATTGGATATTTTGTCGATTAACATCTTGACACCTTCGATGTATCGTGTAATACATCGTGAGACGTTCACCTCTCCGATGTATAACTGAAAAACTGGCTTCTTTAAGTGTGTAAAGTTTGGTCCCATCAGAGGCTTTTCTATCAAGCTACACGATAAACAACCGTATGGCGTGCATTCGGTTTGACCAGGATCTACGTCCAGGAGAACCACCTTCTTCGAAACGGGTAACAGTCTGTTTATCAAGTAACGCGTCGTAGTAGATTTACCAACGCTCTTACCACCGACGATTACAGTACATGACCATTTATTCGAACGCCAACGGTTCAACATTTTTTCGCTAACTTCTCCGCTGATACGTGGATCGATTATTAACTCTTTGCAATTATAATTACTGGTGTAAAGATTTGATTGCAGCATCAATTCGGCTCTTCTCAAGTCGGTCCAAAAATGACTTATCATTTTCTCTTTCTTTACTTTCGGAAATAGTCTGAACTGATAAAAGGCATCTAAAAATCTGGTCAATCCGTTTTCTAAATTGGACAACAAAACGACCGTCATCGCGGGTGTAAGTCGTTCAATCTCGTCGGCCAATTTATGCCTTTCATTTCGGTCGACACCTTCGCGAGTAAGAAACATCCATACGTTCGATTCGGCGTGTTCTATATTCGGTACTTGATCATTGACATGATTTTCGCTGGTTTCGATTGAAACATTACTATATCCTCTCGGCGAGTAGATTTCGACCGGACCACTTTCTGTGGTGATCACGCATCCATACGCTTCTACCGCGCCATATATCACTCTAACGACTAATTTCCCAGTGAAGCAAAATCGTGCCTTTTCAGACATCACAGCAACTACTTTGTTTCTCAAGCAATAAAATCGTACTGAATAAGTATTAATGTTTTTATCCGACATCTCTACTTCGTTACCATTTCCGTCTTCAACGTTGAAATTAGCAGCAACATAGTCATCTGTATCATATTTTTCAGGTGTATTACAAGACCCGTTAGTTTTTGACGAGCTAGGACCAGCAATAGGAGATGTAGTAGATTCGACTACATCATTTTTCACTTGCTTCTTATTCTTTTGCGGTGTATGATTATTCTCCAACGGTGGTCTTGTATGGTCTTGTCGGTTCTCGTTTTCTGGATTGCACGATTCATGACTCGGATTCAGTGATTCAGTGACAATAATGCACGCTTGCTCCTTTTCTATGTCCATGTACGTCGGGTTGTTGTCCGGAACATCGTTTCTCACTTGTACTTGTTGACTCTGTTTAAGCGGTTCGGGTATGTTCAATAAAGACAAGTTGTCGAACGCTTCGACCACTACAGGCGAACCTATGTTTTCTTGCTTCGGAACGTCATTATACAGTTTGCCGTCTCTGTTTTTAGCTAACAGTGTTTCCACAAAGTTGTTGTCATTGTCCGACTCTGAGGAAGATATTATAGAATCTGAAATTTAAGCAACCCCTTTCTAAAGTGGTGTTCTTTACTTGAATGAAAGTGTTTATACCATACTTTATCTTCAACCTGCAAATAGCGTATGGTATTTACTTCGACGTATAAACAGAATCGAAAATGGTCTCGAATAATTGATAGAAATAATACAGATAAGTCCCTCACTTTGCGATTTCTCATTTTTCTTTCCATTGCACTTTCTCTTCCTTTGTTTTAAATTACGTTGCTCAAGCGACTGCTCTTGGCTCGGCGAGCTATCTCTGACACTTTTCCCAGGTGTTCGATTCATGATCCAAAAATCAAGATAGCCGTTTCCTTTTTCCATGTGCAGACTTGTTTCCTACTTCGTACTCTCGCAAATTTCTATGTTCAAAGTCGTATTAATTAATTAATCAAATATAAAATCATGTTAGATAACTTTATAATGAATGCTCAATGATTTTTACTCACGCCTTTATTTATTTTTTTCAATTCCCAAATTTTATGTTTCTAATTTTTTCCTTTGTGTCGACGTTTTCATTATTACCGAAAATTCAAGCAATCCTCATTTTTGAAGGAAGCATTCTCAGAGTGTCACTTGGTGTAACCTTTAAAATTCTTACGGAAACTGAAAGACTTTAAAAACACACACTTAAACCAAGAAGAAAAAGTACGAATTTAAGCTTCTAGGAACGATCAGATCGCTGAGCAACCAAGATTTCTAAAAATTCGGTTGTGAAATTCGAACCATGTTACATTTAAATAATGGCTCTAACAGCAGCCGAGATATCAACCGTATCAACTGTATCAATAGATATAATTAGAGCCAGAGGGCTAAATTCTGGACAAACTATTCCACAGCGGCAAAGTAATCTTTCTATGTAACTATAGAAAATAAACCTAAGAATCGAATGTTTCGACTTATAGAGGACCAATTTTAATGAAATACAGCTCCATAATTATATAAAGCTGAAAGTATATATAACGGATAATTTCATTATTATGTCTAAATGACGATGATGTTTTCCTCCACTTTTTAAAATATAGGAAGACATAAATGTGATTAAATATAAAATAGCTAAAGTTCTAATTCAGTTTGATTTTATTAAAAATTCTGCTCTGTCATTGAATCAACCCGCGCGTTTCTTTTAATAAAAATTTGTCGTAATATATGACAGAGACAGAACAATACTTCTGCATTATTCAATAGCAGCAGTTAGTATAGCGTTATACGGTACAGCAATACAGCATGTTTCAATTACATAGTTTGACTCATATTGTTAGTTTACAATTAGCATAACTTAGGTAGTAGCAGTAGCAGCAAGCAGCAACGCAGCGCAGCAACTAGCAGTCAGACTAGCAGTTGCTAGCAGTCGTGTGCAGCTGCAGTGTTCGTAGTTTGCGTCAGTGTGGCCCGTGCTGATCAGTTGCGATTACGTTTTAAAGAAACATTAAATACTGAGTTCGCAATTAACTCGGATAAAGAATGTTTGTATACAATCTAGAATACATTGAATAATTGATGCTAACCTGCCTACATATTATGTTGACATTTACACATCGTACTTGACGTATTTTTGCAATTTAAAAGCATAATGGATCAGGAAAGTATGGACAAATTTGTGGAAGTGACAGGTGAGCGTTTAATCTCGATCCAGAAGTCTTTATCTCCCTCATAATTATATTACCGTATTTTAGATTAATTATAGATTGTTTCAATGACATTGACAATTTTGTTTTTGTTAGGAGAGAGTGAAGCAACAGCTCGCCATTATCTGTCGCTTGCCGATGGAAATGTAGAGAATGCTATAACATTAATGTTCGAGGGTGGTCCGACGCCTGAATCAAGCGCTCAGCCTGTCCATCCTGAACCTGAACCAGAAGTCAGACCCCCTATTTTACCTGTGCAGGAAGTATTAGTACCATCCGGTCCAATATGTTCTCTTCCAAGATTATCGACTAACGTATTTGATAGATTCAGGGATTTTGCAGTAGAAACACGTAAGCAACATCTTATTTAATAAAATTTCTAACACCATCATTCCTTTTAATCATCATACATTTAATACAGAGAGACAAGAAGAAGAAATGGCACGCAAAGTAGCCGGAGTAAAAAACAAGCAAATGTCGTACTGTAAATCAAAAAGATTGGAAGATTTGTTTCGCCCGCCTTGCAACATCCTCTTCCTAGGTTCGTTCATTGAAGCACGAGAACATGCTAAGAAGTTAAATCGCTGGTTACTTGTAAATATACAAAATCCCCAAGAATTTTCATGCCAAATTCTGAACAGAGATGTATGGTCGAATCAACAGATTCAAGAAATTGTCAAGGATCATTTCGTTTTATGGCAGGTATGGTGCAATTACAAGGTACGTTCTTCTTCTGAGAAAAAGGATATATCAAAAATTTTAAATATGTATTACTGTACTATGTAAACAGGTCTTGTCTAACACAAGCGATGGAAGTAGTTTCATACATCTGTACGAAGTTTACGAATATCCTCATCTAGCAGTTATAGATCCTAGAACAGGAGAATGTATGCAGACGTATAATCACATTACTGTAGACAGCCTGATGTCTGTTTTGAATGATATGTTGAGTTCTCATCCGTCGCCAGAATGCGTAACAAGTAACTCCAGTGATGCTAAAAAATGGAAGAGTTCTACTGCCACCATAATAAAAGAAAGCTCTTCGTCCGACTTATCTGTATGTTACAATATTCCTAAAGATCGGATGATACAAGAAGGTAGTTGCTCATTTCCAATCATTTTTCTCATTTATTTTATAGGATTGCAGTGGTAGTGCCGTGAAAGCATTTAAACACACGATCGATAGTTCGATGGTAAAAGATCTAGGTAAACGATATATACAAAG